AGATAAACTGATTTGTTTTTACTCTTGAGGTCGTTTGAGGATCTATTCCTCGGGGGTCCCATGGGCTTGGGGGGCGTCCCTGGCTCCTTTCTTTTACCAGTTCCATCTATGTGAAGATAAGTCAAAGGTCCTGCTCGACCATTGTTGGCTTCTCTTGGAAGCATGGAGGAAATGATTCCTCCGTGTTGACTCTCCTCTTTATAGACTGGACACTGGTTCAAGTCCATCTGGTGGGGTCTCCTTGGCCTCCTTGATCAAGAAGTCAGAGAGACTTTTAAGGAAGGACAAAGTGTGCCATTGCTTACCTGGTAATCGATCACCTAATTTCAGTACCAGGGCTATTTAAATTTCACTCATCTTGCAAGATGAGGCTCCAGAGTCATGGTGGAATAGAAATTTACTTTCTTTAATCTGTTTTTAAACAATGGTAATGTTTCATGATTAATTGCTCTCTCAAGATGCTCATCTCTACATTTGGGCTCTCAAAAGCAAGGACTCTTTCCTTACTGGCTCAAATTCCTCTGTTGATATGTATTTGTCAAATGACTGGCATGGAACAAAATCTTTAACTAATCTGAACGTTGATTTTCCTGTCTTCTTTGAGTGAAAATAAGACTATAATCCTAGACACTAAATGGCCTGACATATGATTAACTTCTTCAGTGCAGTGACACTGTGTCATACTTCCATACATTGTCATGATTTGTTGTTGAACTAAGTGGTACACACACAGGTTAGGTTATGAAATAGGGAAATTTCTGAATTTCTGACAACTTTTTATATCATAACTGTCTTATTCCTTTTCTGATACACTCTGATACACTGAAATTTTCAAGAGATTTATTCCTCTGGGAAAGTGGAGGAGAGAGATTTCCTTATTACTAAGTACCTCCAAAACACCTGGACATTATGTACAAGAAAACATGTTAGAATGTTGGAAGTTTCAGATAAAACAGAGCCCAGCTAAGGCACGTGAAATCTGGAGTGACGCACTGCTAAGTCCCTGAGGACTCGTTTTGAGACAGGGTCTCCTTTAACTTCTGATCCTCTTGCCTTCACCTCCCCAGTTCTGGGATTACAGGCTTATTCCACTATACCTGCTGTATGCAGTGCTGGAGATGAGTCCAGGGCTTCCTGCGTGGTAGGCAATAACTCTACCTACTAGTAGTGAAACTCCACAGAAAAACTATTATCACCCCCCTCAATACACACCCTTCCTTTGTCATCAAAGGTTGTGTGGAAGGCCTGGCATCATTGCGGGGTCAAAAGATTTTGGTCAGGAATTGAATTAACAATTTAAGGATGAAAAATACAGGCACTAGTAATCCTACATGGTGTCTTTTAGACAATATAGGAGTTTATACATCACATTTAGTTTTACAGGGTGGAAAAGCAATACTGAATCCCTGAATCACAGCTGACATGAAAAAATGGTGAAAAGAAGATGAAATGGGAGTCTAAGGGGATGTCAGTCATCCACTGCTCCCTGAGTTGACTTTACTTCTGACAAACCATGTCAACAGTAGTTCTTGGTTCAAGACTCCATAGAAGACTTGCCCTCATTAACTATTTTCAAAATATTTCCAAGATTTATCTCTATATCAGGAATGTGAATTGACAATAAATTATGTCTAATTAAGTAGCAGTATCCTTTCCATTTCCCTCATATTCTTGAAATTTGCGTTTAACTTATGTAGCTTTTCATTTTAGTGTTTTAGTATTTGTTAATTGTTCAGGGATTTTAGAAAAGTGGTATTTTATTACATGTAGCTTTCATGTCTTTTCACTTGCTTTGTTTTGCAATAATACAGTAATAATACCGGGTAAGTCGAGCTCACCCCAGTACATAGTCTATCTTTTTTTGCTGAGTGAGTTTCATCATCTGATGCAGCATCAAATAGCAGCAGACAGTAGTTTGATCTCTTCATTTGTTTTTTGACAATTGACAATGCATACTCTTATCAAGTATTGGAATTTCTTTTGGATTTTGTTCTTACAACCACAGCTTCTACAAATTATTTTGTATATGTCCCCTGGAAGCAAATGTTTCCCTTCGTGTATATTGAGTAGAAATTTTGGCTATAATGTATAAGTATTCAACTTTTCAATTCACTGCGATATCTTTGTGATCCCTTCCACTAATTCTTATAGTATTTCAGTCTACTAGTAATCTGAAAGATCCACTAACCCACATTGTCACTGTATTTAGCATTATGTATAATAATTTTACCAATCAAATAAGTGTAGTTTCTCATTGTGCTTTTGATCCATAGTTTGCTCTGTGCTTGAGAATCACATTATATGTAAATATATGCTATATATTTCTTTGTCTGTGAAATAATTTCTTATGCACTCTATTTTTATTAGAAAAAATTTTCTTATTTATATAAGAGTTGAAATCATTGAAAGATGGAATAAAATTAGATGTGGATCCCTTGTTTCCTCCTATATGGGTGATTTTTAAACCATTTCTATTTAATTTTGACAATTTCTTTTTTTAGATGATATTTTCTTATTTACTCTTCTGTTGCAGTGATAAAACACCATGGTTCAGGCAAGTTATAGAAGGAAGAGTTTATTCAGGCTTACAGTTCCAGAGAAATGAGTCCAGCGTGGTGTGGAGGCATGGTGGCAGAGGTGGTTAGTCATAAAACTGAGCACTAACTTTTTCAAATGCATGCAGGAAACAAAGAGAAAGTAAGCTGGAAATGGGGCAAGGCTGTGAACTCTCAAAGCCCCACTGACATGCTTCCTCTAGCAATGCCACACCTCCTGAGGGTTCCATGACCTCCCAAGCATTGACAATTTCGTACATTTATACAAGGTATTAAGAAAATATTCATCTCCCTAAACTCTCTCTTGCCTCCTCCCACTCTGGCATACATCTTTCTTCTCACTATTCCTACTAATATGTCTCTG